CCGCAAGGGCCCCGGGGAGAGCGGAGTGCAGGCGGGCGGGGTGGAAGCTGAGAGCCTGGAGGGCGGGAGAGTTAAACTGAGACCAGAGCAAGTGATTTGGGCGGGGAGTGGGGCCTGGAGCGGGGGAGCAAGAACCTGAGCTCCGCTGGGGCAAAGGAGCTGAGGTAAAGCGCTGAGATCAAACAAGAGGCATGAAAGGACAGAGAGATCCTGCATCGGAAAGGGCTTGAGGCGAGATCTTTGAATCACAGGGGTGCCCTAGGGTTGTCCCCCAAGCCACTGACCACTGCCTTCTTGCCCTCTGGGCTCCTCACCGCCCTGCCTGCCAAAAGCTCTGGTCTCCCAGCCAAGGCACAGAGTTGGGGTAACTGCCCCCTGCAGGACAACTTAAACACTGAACCAGCTGAGATCTGGGAGAGCTTAGTTACAAGGCCATTGGCGGCGCTCAGGAACGCAACCTCCCAAATGGACCAAAATGCCCAGTGAATCCTCTGTATGGACGTTTTACACAGAGACCACTTATACGTTTGCCCTCTTTATCAATGAAAGAGAAATATGCACAGTGGTTGCTCCCCCTCAGATAACAATTAGTTACACTGGGCATGATAATAAAGAAAAGTGTTTTTATTAAGTACAAGTAAGATTTAAGTGATTGCCAGTGAAAAGCAGACAGATGGAAGTAAGTTACTAAGTCAAAATAAACAAAACAGGCCAGCTAATTCTTCCCCTAACAGTTGTAATCAACTTTTTCACAAGCCTCTTAGGTTGGGCCTGACCCTTGCACCAGTTCAGACTTAGATTTTAGGTGGTAAGTGGGGGTCTCCTTGTGTCTGGTTACCTCCTGTTGTTTGGTTCCAACCATTTTTACCCTCTTGCCCAAGGCAGGAATTCTTGTGTTCAGTTCAAATTTTGCTCACCTTGAATTGAAAAGTACCAGATCCAGAATGGGTTCCAACATCAAGTGGCCTGACAACATGTCTTGGTAGGACCACCCACAGTTTGGGCTTACAGGAAAAACAAAACCATTCACAGGTCATTGACTTGTAGAATATCTGGACTAATAAAACGGGTTCCCACTTAACATTTCTAACTTCACATACAAGAAAGATACATGCACAAAAATAGAATATACACATTCAGGGGATCACAGGCTCTTAAATGATAGGTTACATTACTTGTTTTTCATAATACATCTTTGCATTATGCATATTCATAAGCCAGTTCTCATAAGGCACAAGGCGACCTGTGACACTATTGAAATATTTTTTGCTTGGGAAAGCTAATGTTTTTCTTTTTTCTTTTTCCCACGAAAGCTTATGCTCCAATAAATCTGTTAGTCTATAAGGTGCCACAGGACTCCTTGTCTTTTTTCTCTGTATTCTTGAGGATTTCCATCATTTTCCTGCCAACTGTTTACATACCCTCTGAAATGCATCCTCCAGGCTTTGCATAGTGGTCTTCATCCTTATGGAAAAGGAGGTCTTCCTGTGCAGAACCCATCAATTCTATTTGCAAAGCTTTCACCATGAGTCATACAGAGCACTCCTCTCTAAGCCTTCATCTACACTACTTGTTTTTTCCAGCAGAAGAAGTCGTGATCTCATTAGCATATTTTCTGCCATTTCCTTTTGCGCAAGGGGTTTTTACGCAAAAAGAAGCAGTGTGGACTTTTTTTGTACAAAACCCCCATTTTGCGCAAGATCCTTATGCCTGTCTGGGACCCTTTGCGCAAAAAGAAATGGCAGAAAATATGCTATTGAGATTGCAACTCATGCTAATGTGTCCCTCATTAGCATATTTTCTTCCAGAAAAAACTTGTAGTGTAGATGTAGCCTAAGAGTCTGAGAATACTTCTCTAGCATTTCCTTACATTGGCAATCAAGGGCCTAGGAGGGAGTCCAGAAATTAAACCCAGAGCTATCAGGTTACTGCACAAAGCTATCCCTAGTTCACCAGGGTGACTATTTTTTTTTTTTTTTTTTTTTGTAATTTTACTTTGTAAACATGTCCTTTCACACATAGGTATTTTACTGTAGCAGTTCACTAGATGTTCATAATGGTCCTTTCTGACCTAAAAAATGTATGCATATCTGACTTTCACAGGCTATTTGTTCTTGTTTTTGCTAATTGCTGAATTTAGGCAGGCAATCTAGTTTTCTGGACTACTTGTTTATCAAACTATTTTAGAATTTTCTTTTTATAGATGATCACATGTAACAAGCGGGCACGGAAGTTCTGCAAAACAGTAAAAATGTATAATGTAAACTCCGCAAGGATTTTAAAAAGCAAAAAAACCATTAACAATTGCAGTTAATTTAAGGGTGCGTGCTTTCGCTTTTCAAAAGCGATCTCTTGAAGTTAGCTATTAAGATAAACTGCAGAGTACAAGGGAGCACTTAGGCACATGTTTTTTAATTCCCTATTTTTTTTTTAAATAATTTCAGTTCCTGGGCAATTGTAGCAGTCGGATCCCTGATTTTGATTTTTGTTGCTCTAGTAGCTCGTACTCTTGTCAAAAGAAAACCACCAAAAGACCCACTGTTTTATGGTACGTATTAGTATAAGCAAAGCTAATTAAGAGTTTATTCATTTGTTTGAAAGTTACAACTTACATGGATATACTTTATAACTGTTACCATTTGTGTCTGTAAAAAGGGTAATATGCATTTAACTTGATAGGAACCTCTTAATAATTTTGGGGCCAATGCTTTAGGATGATAAGTAGGTCTCAAGTTGAAGGAGTGCAGCAGGGGTTGAAATATGGAGGGGAAAAAAGTATTGTTGTACTGCTTTTCAACCTTGCCAACCAACCAACTCCACTGTTTGAAAGTCAAAATGAGATTCACAGAGGCCTGTGGAAAAGTTAAAAATCTGCTGTGCTGGGCCCATCCAGTTTGGTTCCTCATGATGACACAGTGGACCTTATTGAACATGTCAGGCCTGATGCCTGCTCATTGGGGCCCATTTTCCTGCTGGACTCTGTGTTCTTCTTTGATATTTGTGACCCTGTAGAGGGAGAGGGGGTTGGATTCCCCATCGGGCTCCACAGAATTGGCTGCCTCCTAGATAGTACAGATTGTTGTAATCTGATCATCTCTCTTCATACTTATACAATAAATGATCCACTAATAATATCTAGTAGCCATCATTAGGCTTCAGTGTTAACACCAAAATGTGATGAACAGGGGTCATTCTCACCTCTCAATGCTACCATTTTAGGCTCTGCAAAAATCTAGGTAAGCATCAATACACTCTGGCTGCATCTAGACTGGCATGATTTTGTGGAAATACTTTTAACGGAAAAGTTTTTCCGTTAAAAGTATTTCTGCAAAATTGCGTCTAGATTGGCACAGATACTTTTGTGCAAAAAGTGCTTTTGTGCAAAAGCATCCGTGGCCAGTCTAGACGTGATTTTGCACAAGAAAGTCCCAATCGCCTTTTAGCCATCGGGGCTTTTTTGCGCAAAACAGTTCTTCCCTGCCTACACTGGCCCTCTTGAGCAAGTATTCTTGCACAAGAGGGCTTTTTCCCGAGTGGAAGCGTGAAAGTATTTGCGCAAGAAGCACTGATTTTGTACATTACAAAGTCAGTGCTCTTGCGCAAATTCAAGTGGCCAGTGTAGACAGCTGGTAAGTTTTTGCACAAAAGCAGGTGCTTTTGCACAAAATCTTGCCAGTCTAGACGCACCCTCTATGTATATTTGAAGGCTATTGTCACAACCATAAGACCGGGGAGATGTAATTGTTTTTTAAGTGAAAGCTTAGATTCTGGAGTACCATATGGCAATCTACAGCAAAAATTACTGATTCATTTAGCTGCCTCATGCTACAGCCATTGCAGGATGGAGCCTATAGCACATACATACTATATATTTTTATTCTCTGCTACTCATCTTATTACCATACACCTTTATTCTCCACGGTGCTACATATGTTCTGAGTGGTGCTGACTCTCAGTTCATAAAAGGTTTTCCTCATGGGGTCATTCAGCATCTTGCAAAATAGGTCTCCTATGTGGTCATGGCTTATGATGGCAAAGCAGGTTCACTCTGTTCCACTCCAGAAAGGGCAAGTCACGTTTTCCTTTCTCTTTCCGCCAGTCCTCCCCCCTTCTTTCTTTTGAGTATAGTTCACTTTTCCTGAAGGAAGATTAGATGTTTGCAATTGAGACTGTCTACATTATATGATTGTTTCTATGGGCTTACCTAGTCCTCTTCCTGGGATGCCAGTCACCAAGGTCACTGGGAGCTGGGCATATAGAAGTACATGTAATTAAGTGTAGCTATCTTGAGGGGCACACTTTGTGGCAAAATATTGGTATCTTAAAATATTTAAACTGTGTATTGGTAGGTAGCATGTTATATTGTCTATTAGATATCTGTCTAGACATTTTCCTCACAACAGATAAATCTCCCCCTAGTTAGATGCTAATCTCATAACAGTTTAATATTGGCAGATTGAGATTTGCAAACCTTTTTATTTATAGTTATTTCTTTTCATATTACTACAGTTTATGCTGTATTCGCTTTTACCAGTGTAGTGAACCTTATAGTTGGACTTGAACAGGATGGAATTATTGATGGATTCATGACCTACTACTTGAAAGAGGTAAACAATAATTTTACTTATGAATTTAAATAAAATCTTTATTATTGATGATTGGATACATCTTTATTACCAAAATGCCCATGACAGAAAAAAGTCATAGGGTATGTCTACACTACCCCCCTAGTTCGAACTAGGGGGGTAATGTATGCATACCGAACTTGCTAATGAAGCCCGGGAAATTCAAATCCCGGGCTTCATTAGCAAGTTCGGTATGCATACATTACCCCCCTAGTTCGAACTAGGGGGGTAATGTATGCATACCGAACTTGCTAATGAAGCCCGGGAAATTCAAATCCCGGGCTTCATTAGCAAGTTCGGTATGCATACATTACCCCCCTAGTTCGAACTAGGGGGGTAGTGTAGACATACCCATAGAAAGTTAACAGAATAGGAATTTCAGTCTTATAATTTATTTCATATGCTTTGGACATTAAAGAGGAAGATACTGTAATTTATGTTTTCATAGAGGCGTTTAAATATATTTACTGCTGCTATTTGGCTTTTCTTCTAATTAAATATGAGTATTTATGTGTCTGAAAGAATCTTCTTGGGTTTGATTCTACTCTTATTAAAAAGTGACTTATGGAACTTTCATTAACTTCATGCCCCAGCGTTATTATTTCATTTAGTTCCAATAATAATGCTCATAGTTGACTTATATGACATTACTGTAGTTAATACACATATTTCTACTGAACTAGTTAATGGATACATTTCTATAGAGCTCAATAGAAATTCAGCAATCACTAATGGAGTATGTCTACACTACAATGTTAGTTCGAACTAACGGACGTTAGTTCGAACTAACATTCATAGGCGCTACACTAGCGCTCCGCTAGTTCAAATTTGAATCGAACTAGCGGAGCGCTTAGTTCGAACTAGGAAAACCTCATTTTACGAGGATTAAGCCTAGTTCGAACTTACTAGTTCGAATTAAGGGGTGTGTAGCCCCTTAATTCGAACTAGTGGGAGGCTAGCCCTCCCCAGGTTTCCCTGGTGGCCACTCTGGCCAACACCAGGGAAAATCTATTGCCCCCTCCTGGCCCCGGACCCCTTAAAGGGGCACGGGCTGCTACGGTGTCCGTGCCAGGTGCAAGCCTGCCAGCACCCAGCCAGCAGACCCTGCACCTGGCACGGCACAGAGCCACCCACCTGATGTCCCCCAG